GTGTGTTTTCTGCAGGTTTGCGAAGGAGCAGGGGGGCCGGGGGTGTCTGTACGGCTCGCGGTGTCCGTACGCCCACAGCGAAGCGGAGTTGAGGGTTTTGGGAAATTCAGATTCTTTGCAAGATTTAAAAAACAATCAGCAGCAGCAGCAGCAGCAGCAGGAGCAGCAGCAGGAGCAGCGGAGCAGCAGCCCCCCGCTGCGCCCCGAGGAAGCGGCGCCCCAGCAGCTGCGGCCGTCCGTCGGCGAAACAGCAGCAGCAGCAGCAGATGCGCAGCAGCAGCAGCAGCAGCAGATGCAAGACATGCAGCAGCAGCAGCTCCAAGACATGCTGCACACGCTGCAGCAGCAGCAACAGCAGCAGCAGATGCAAGACATGCAGCAGCAGCAACAGCTCGAGCAGCAGCAGCAGCAACAGTCCGTGACCGGAAAGCAGCAAAGTCTCTCCGAGCAGCAAAATGACCTCCAGCAGCAGCAGCAGCAGCAGCACGAGCTTCAGCATCAGCAACAGCAGCAGCAGCAAAAGCAAGAACGCTCCGAGAAAGAGCCTCAGGACACAAAGCAAGCAGCAACAGCAACAGCAACAGGAGCAGCAGCAGCAGCAGCAGTAGAGACACAGCAAATGTACTCCAAAGCGAGGAAGCAGCAGCAGCAAAAGCAGCAGCAGCAGAAGCAGCAGCAAGGAGGGGCTCACTACATTGCACCATATCCGCTGCACAGCAGTCGCGTGCCTTCTTCAACAGGTACCCCTAAACCCTAAACCCTAAAACAAAAACCCTAAACCCTAAACCCTAGCAAACGCAAGCTTTTGCGCCACTTGCTGCTGTTTGCTGCTGCAGCAATCTCTGCAAAAGGCGCTGCAGCAGCAACTGGCGGGCCCCGCCCGCGGGGTTTGGATACGTTTGACGTGCAGCAGCAACTGCTGCTGCTGCAGCAGCAGCAGCAGCAGCAGCAGCAACCGGCCCCTGCTGCCTTCCCCTCCCTCTGCCCTCCAGGAGGCCTCCTGGGGGGGCCCCTAGGGGGCCCCCTGGGGGCCCCCTTAGGAGACCCCCTGGGGGCCCCCTTGGGGGCCCCCCTGGGGGACACACTAGGGGCCCCCCTGGGGGACACACTAGGGGCCCCACTAGGGGGTCCCCTGGGGGCCCCTCTAGGAGCCCCCCTTGGGGGCCCCCTAGGGGCCCCTCTAGGGGGCCCCCTAAGTACCCCTCTTGGGGGCCCCCTGGGGGCCCTTTATTGCAATGCTGTGGGGCCCCAGCAGCAAGGTGCTTACACACCAGTGCTGCCACAGCTGCAGCAGCAGCAGCAGCAGGCGTTTTTGTCCCCTCTCGCTGCTGCTGCTTCTCCTGCTATTGCTGCTGCTGCTGCTGCTGCTGCGCCTGCTGCAGTTGGCCCTGCCCAGGCCCCTCTGGGGCCTCAGCAGCTCGACAGAAGACCCCAAGCAGCAGCAACAGCAGAAAAGGGGGCCCCCGGGGGGGCCCCCCTGCAGCAGCAGGAAGCAGCAGCAGGGACAGGTATTGACGGAATATGTTCAGAGTTGGTGGTGCTGCTGCG